TTGCACGTTAGGAGTGGCTTCATTCGTATAAACGCTGATCTGGCAATCTCTATTCGTCTGTTTATTTCTACAGTATGATCATTGGTTTCAATGATCAAAGTTCCCAAATACTGATATTTTTCTACTTGTTCTATCACGTTACCATTTATTGTCAATAGGTGATGTATATTTTGTGGCCTTTTTGTAATCAGCATGTACTTCGTTTTTTTGGCGTTTAAAGTAATTCCCATCTCAGCACTATTTATACTCAAGCTTTCGATAAGATGTTGTAGATCCTCTATACTCGTTGCTATGATCACAGTGTCGTCTGCATATCTTAAATTATTAATTAGTTTGCCATTAACGGTGACTCCCGCTTCGATATTATTGAGCGTGTTTTGGAAAATTTCTTCAGAATATAAGTTAAACAAAAGTGGTGATAACACACATCCCTGTCTAACTCCTCTACAGATCTTCATTTCTTCTGAGTGTTGCCCATCAATTTGAACTATGGCACTTTGGTTTCAATATAATGTTTGCACTATATTTATGATTTTACTGTCAATGCGCTTGTTCATAAGTATTGATATTAGTTTTTCATGTCTTACTTTATCGAAAGCTTTTTCGTAGTCAACGAAGCACAAGTGTAGATCAACATTCACATCCCGACATCGCTGAATTAATATGTTGATGGCAAATAGTCCTTCTCGAGTACCCATTCCATTTCGGAACCCGAACTGCGTCTCGCTAATATCCTCCTCTAGCCTTTCGTATATTCTCTTATGTATTATTTTTAGCAGAACTTTTAAAGTATGACTCATGAGGCTCAGTGTTCGATAATCGGAGCACTCTTTTGCTGCTTGTTTTTTAGGGATGGTTATAAATGCTGACTTTAGCCACTCCTGTGGTATTATTTCCGTATCGTACACCGTGTTGAATAAATCTGCCAATACTTCCAAGTTGTCCTCTTGTTTCAAGAACTAGTTTTAAGAGTTCTACTGGTATTTCATCTATATATATATATATATATATATATATATATATATATACAATTGCTGCAAACCCAATATTGAAAATTTACTTCCTTGTTGTCAGCAAATACTTCTAGTTCATTATATATATATATATATATATATATATATATACCACTATGTCGTGCCCATCCTATCCTGTCCTAACTATCAGATCAACGATTCTTCGTGTTTGGTGATCAACTTTTCGACGTTGTTCTACCCTTAAGTTTCCTTAATATACTTATTTTTAATTTTATTCTTTTTTGCTACATCACTTATTTATCTAGGCATTCTAGTTTCCGCCACATGCATTCGTTATTCCTTCTTTTGTTTAACTGTCAAACGTTTATTTCCATTCATCAAAGGTCTTACAACAGTTATTTCCAAAGTCCTTTTGGTATTTTATAATGACACTACATCATCACCACACATTAAGCGCCAGGGAATGTCACCTTGTAATTTTCCTGTAACCTAATTTAATACAAATGAGAGTAAATGAAGACTAAGTACTAAGTATGTAGATAATATTTTTCCTTGTCTGCACTATACTAGTTTTTGTTCTAAATTCGTCTCAGATTACATCACTACATCATCAGCATACATTAAGCACTAGGGACTGTTACCCAGTAGTTTTCTTGTTATCTCATGAAACACAAAAAATAGTAAATAATGGCTAAACACTGAGCCCTATTGTTAACTTAGTTTAATGAGAAATTTATTAGTTTGTTTCCGCCACACCTCTCATAACAATAATGGTTACCCTCTCATACATGTCTCTCACCATCTTCACCTACTTACCGGGATCTTATTTCTTATTAAGCACCAATTACAGAATACCTCGAGATTTTATGGTATGCGTAAACTGGATCATATGCTTTCTCCAGATCAATAAATACCAATAAATACCATATAAGCGTATGTCTTTTTCCTGTATTGTCATCAGCTGCCTTCTAATGAAAATTGTATCTATTGTTGATCTACCTTGCATAAAAACCAAACTGGTTATCGCATATTTCGATTTCTCTACGTATACGTTTATAATAACTCTTTCCCATATTTTCGTGGTGTTACTAAATAAGTTTATGGCCCTGTGATTTGCATATTTTCCTTGTTTTTGTAAACGAGTACTTATTATACTTTTTCTTCATTGGTCTGGCATTTGTACACTTTTATAATTGTATAAAACAAACGTGTTAGCTAACTTGTTCTAATCTCACCTAAAGCTGTCCACGCTTTTCCAGAAATATTATGTTGTCCAAGTGTTTTATCTTTTTTTATTTTTTGAAGTGCTTGAACAATTTTCTCGTTTATTATTATAGTAAAATTACCGTTACTATGTTAATTTAATAATAACTACTAAAGAAGATCATGACAAATAGACTAACAACTAAGCTTGACGAATACCAAGCAAGAGAACAAGCGGGATTCAGAAAGGGTTTTAGTACTAGCGACCATCTGCTAACAGTAAAAATACTGATTGAAAAGTCGAACGAGCATCAAATCCCGTTATACATGGCATTCATAGACTTCCGAAAGGCGTTTGACAGCATAGAACTTTGGGCCATTAAAAACTCACTACAGAACGGCAGAATTGATTACAGGTACACGGACCTAATAACAAACATATACAAAAATGCGAGTAATACAATAAAATTGACTAACGAACACGCTACAGAATCAATAAAATTCGAAAGAGGAATCAGGCAGGGAGACACAATATCCCCAAAATTATTCAATCAGGCTATGGAAGACATATTTAAAAAATTATAATTGGATACACACGGAATAAGAATAAATGGAGAGCTCTTGAACCACTTGAGATCTGCAGACGATATATTTCTGATAACAGATAAGAAGGAAGAGTTACAGAAGATGGTTGAAGAACTAGATAGAAAAGCGACAGAGGTAGGGCTGGAGATGAACTATAGTAAAACCAAGACTATGACAAACCAAGAAGACCAACTAGAAATAGTAGTCAAACAGAATAAATTAGAGCAGGTGGCAGAATACATATACCTAGGACAGATAATAAAGCTGAACAGGGACAATCAAACAGAAGAAATAAAAAGAAGAACTAGACTAGCATGGGCCTCATTTAACAAACTATCATATATTCTAAAAAATAAAAAGTTTCCTCAATATATGCGAACGAAAGTATTCAACCAATGCATTTTACCAGTTATCACATATGGCTCACAAACATGGACTTTCACAAAGGAGAACATCGACAAGATATCCAAAACACAAAGAGCAATGGAAAGACAGATGCTGGGTATCGGTCTTAAAGACATGAAAAGAAACTCATGGATCAGAGAAACAACAAAGGTGAACGATGTATCAAGACAGGTTGCAAAACTTAAATAGAACTTCGCCGGTCACACTCTCCGGCAAAAAGATAAAAGATGGAATAAGCGAATTCTACACTGGAAACCATGGGAAAAGAAAAGAAAAAGAGGAAGACCAGAGATAAGATAGACTGACGAACTTAAGAGAACGGCAGGAAAGGGCTGGATGCAGATCGCCCAAAATAGAGACCCATGGAGATTAACAGAGGAGGCCTATGCAAAAGAGTTGGCCGTTTAAGGCTGATTAGATAGATAGATAGATAGATAGATAGATAGATAGATAGATAGATAGATAGATGTTAATTTAATAAACTGTGAAAGTAGTTTTTTCCATAGTTTTATAGATTTTATGCTTCACCTTATCTGGTGTAAATTTAATCGTATAGATTTGTATATCCTTCTACTTTTGCTTTTTACTGATACTTTTGCTTCCTTATTGTCGTAGTATATCGTTTTTTCTTCTTCTGATCTTTTCTTGAACTTTGTTTGACAACTAGCAGGTTACTTTCCTAAGATATTTCCATGTATTCAATAGCAATATCTCCAAAAATACTGGCAACATGCTTCCAAATTGTATTAGAACTTCTTTTTTGTTTCGCTACTTTTTTCTACTATTTTTGTCCTAAATAGACTTTCTTTCTCATATTTTGACATCCAAAACTTGAATTTTTGTGGTTCTCTCTAATATTTAGGTTTATTTTAGCTTTTTTTTCTGCCAGTTCTAGCAGAAGCAGATTTTGTTTACTTTTGTATGTCGTGAGTTAACTTTTTCTATTTTAAAAGGGTGTGTTACCAATCGCGATATTTTAATCTGCCGCTAATTCCAGCATATCAACTTTAGTGTTATTTCTAGTTCGAAAGCCTAGTCCTCCCTATTGTATTTCCAATCATCTCTTCTATTGGGCCAGATGTGCATACAAATGCCTCCTATTATAGCCTTTTTCTTTTCAGTCATTCAGTATGTCTTTGTGGCTATGTATTTGCCTTTTTTACTTTCCTTTTTTTTGAGTTATTTTTGAGTTATTTTTTTTAACTTTGAAATGGATGAAAGCAAATAAAAATAGCATAATTATATTAAATATACAAAAATAACAAACACAGAACAATACCTACTATACCAAAATAAATTTTTGTCTTTTAAATAATTGTTTGAGTATCGCAGATTTAAATTTAATAATTTATATTGTACACTTCATTACATGGTCAGTATTAATATGTTAATTGTTTCAAAAAAAGTTGTTGGTTACTGTGATAAGCGTTACATTTAGGTAGAAATCGTTAATTTTAGGTTTAACCTTAATTTAGTTTATCTTTTCTGTGAGATTTATTAAGTGCTGTCAATGTAATTCACGGTACAAAACTCTTCAAATTCTATTTATTTTGTACCTATGAGACATCGATGCGATATATATATATATATATATATATATATATATATATATATATATATATAATATATATTATATATATATAATATATACACTTATTATATGTATTTAACATAGGCTTTACGTCGAATATTGTTTATTTACACCACAACCACAAATACCTCTTAACTAATGAACTGAACACCTAGAAATGTTTCTTTTGATCTTATTTTTGTGGAAAACAGTTGATAGATCGAAATATTTAGGTTATATTAACGATGTGCGTTTTATTTTAGCCAAAGTAACGGAGTGATGTTTCAGTCAACAGATCTCATTTTAAATCCTTCAGAAACTAAGAAAAAAAACTCTACATCTGGAGCAGAAGGAAAAGGCGGTGGAGGACATGGTCATGGAATTCCAGTGGAACATCCAACTTCGTAAGTCATTGACAAATATATTAAATGTAGAAAATATTTTCAATTTATTAACGCATGGTGGAATTTGCCAAATTTGCTACACAAGAGCTTTTAAAAATATGCATAGAATAACTAATTTTGTCGTTAATCAGATTTATTCCCTACGGTTTAGTAGCAATCACAGAATATGTTATACCTAAAGCCAAAAACGAATTAAAAACTTACCGAGCCTATATATACGAAGAAAAGTATCATAATCATTATAATCATCTTATAGAAAGCGGTGTCTCTTTAGTTTTGGTTTGGTTGTAGCAGTAACTTTGAAGTTGATTGCTAATTGTACTATTTTTGTTTATTTGGGATTCGTCTAATAGATCGTCGTAGATGTCTGAATTAATATTTTATACTACTGTGACCACCTAAATTTTCCACACTTAATAACAGTAGCTATAAAATAATTTTCAGAATGTGTCTTAGACGAGAAACTTTAAATAAATATTAACGATCACATCACAGTCTAAAATGTGACACAGTTGTCAAAAACCTTCAATATAAATAAGATTTCATGTGACAGTTGGGACAAACAATAACATAACCCAACTAAATTTGATTTCTTAAACAAGGAAAGACTCTCTTTCCTTGTTTAATGTGGCCTCTCAAAATGTACTTCCTGTCTAACAATATTTTTGCCCCCACTACTTTTACATTCCATCTTTTGTCTTTTTGCTCAATGGCTAGCATGCTCAACTCACTTTCATTTTTTTTTTGTTTATTTTCTTTATGTCGTCACTTTAACGCTTTTTCCTTGTATCCATGTTTCTCTATTGCTTATTTAAAATTTATCCCGTTATAGCGCTTATCAGTTTTATCTAAGTTAATATCACCACTCTCTTGGTTCTGTATATGCTTCAGTTTCACCATGTAGAATGCATTTGTAGATCTAAGTTATCCCTATACGTCACTCAACGATATTTAAAAGTATTTTCATTATTTGCCTTTATATACATAACTTTTTATATAAAATCGCATCATATCATTTTATTGATATTAATTCGAGCACGGTAAGTTTAACGAATTTGTCTATATTTTGCCAAACATATATTAATATTTACATATATATATATATATATATATATATATATATATATATATATAATATATACATTTATATATAATATATATATATATAAATATATTATATATATATATATATATATCGGAAAAGGAGTACGACCGTCAATCCAATATATTATAAGGATCACTCAGACTAATGGTGGGTTCTTATATCGGTCTCAAGGTGGAGAAATAAAAGACAAAGTTGATATGCTACTTTATCTATTCTGAAGACGTTTCGCTTTCGTATTCTGAAAGCATCATCAGTTCATCTAAAAAGTACAATATGAGAAACACACAATCATGGAGAAAATGTTATAAGTGTTACCTTAAAAAGACATGTAGCAGTCAATGATATTAATAGATTTGTGAGTAAAACTTAAGTAAATGGACATTATACGGTAATATTGTATAAACAATCAATTAACTAACAACATTTAGCAACTTATTAAAAAATTAGCTCAGCAACAGAACATGGGGTCTAAAGTATATGTAATATTTTATTTTATATTAAGCAGTGAGTAAGAACTAAGAATATCATAGATTAACTTCCAACTATTTGATAATTATTTAAGCTTTGATTTTGACTTTAGGTAGCATTATTAAAGTGATTTGAATAATTTTTTTTTTATTAAAAAATGTAGTGTAAATGAAGTTACCGCTCAAAGCCTCACAGCTGCCGCCGGGAAAATGGCGTTAATTGAAACAGACCGAACCAAACCATGAAAAGACAGCCAACCTTGAGGTCAAAAATTTGACGGAACAGCAAGGTAGAAGTACCACCCTAAATAATAGGGCGGTGTATTTAAAAGTTCAAATGAGTTTGAATGATAACCCGCTTGTAAGAGACAAACCAATGAAAGAAATTAATATAAAATAAAATATTACATATACTTTAGACCATATGTTGTGTTGCTGTGCTAATTTTTTAATAAGTTGCTAAATGTTGTTAGTTAATTGATTGTTTATACAATATTACCGTATAATGTCCATTTACTTGAGTTTTACTCACAAATCTGTTAATATCATTGACTGCTACATGTCTTTTTAAGGTAACACTTATAACATTTTCTCCATGATTGTGTGGTTCTCATATTGTACTTTTTAGATGAACTGATGATGCTTTCAGAATAGATAAAGTAGCCTATCAACTTTGTCTTTTATTTCTTCACCTTGAGACCGATATAAGAACCCACCAACTCTTATAATATATATATATATATATATATATATATATATATATATATACATATATAAATATATATATATATATATATATATATATATATATATATATATATATTGAAATGATTTCAATATGTTAAAATATATACAACTTTAATGGATTTTTATATGAGTTTGTTGTTTATGAATTTCATGAAGCCATCACAATGTGGGTTCGACTCTGAAATAAAAGAGAGAAAAAGATTAGTAAATTGTTAAATAAATTAATTTTGACTTACCTGGTATAGTGTTAATAATTTCTGAATAGTATAGTTGCCTAGTGTATAGGTGAATCGTCTAAACCTTAAGAAGAACAAAAAAAGAAGAATTTTAAAAAAATATTTAAACATAGAAATTTTAATAAACGTCAGAAAATAAACTGCTTGACAGTTTATTTGACAGTCTGTGGGAGCTAAATTAATAGGGGTTTTGTTAAATAAGAAATTACAATGATGTAGAGATGAAAAGAATAAATTAGTATTGTAATAGAATAAGTTTTATATCTAAACATTTTTTTTTGTAAATTCCCAAATTATATGTGATTAAAGTGATTATGAGAAAGTAATGTGGCTTGACAAATATGTCAAACAGGACAGTTTTATGGTTTAAAAATATTTAAATAGAAGACAGAAAAAAAAAACGTTGGTTGCTGTTAGCAACGGATAATAAGAGGAATTGGTTTTTTGGAGAAGACGCCGACGAGGTTTTTTTGGACGAAGGAGAGCCCTGAAACTGTGGAATAGGTCGGGAGTGTTTTTTAAACTCGTCTAATTAGAATTTAGTTTTTCCACAGTTTCCACAGCAGAGATATCCAGAAATTTGTTCCAGAGAGTAAGAGAAACAATTTCACTTATAAATTATATTGGAGTATAGAAATGTCATTTAAATTGAGAAAATTAAAAATCATGAATTAACATAATTGCGATAGGCCTTAAAAATTGAAATTATTAATGATCATTAAATTAAAAATAGAATAGTACGTACCTTAACTTCCGAAGAGAGGATTGATATTCCAGTTTCACCGATTATTTTTGAGTAGTTAGTTTCCTTTAAAGCAATCAGAACTGTTTTAAAGTGAGGTTGGACAATAATTTTGGGGATCATTTGAAATTTTGATTATATTGAGTATCAGCGGAATAAAGTGTCATTTTCTTTTTCTTTATAGTTCATTTAAACACTTTATAAAGTTGCAATATTTATTTAGTTTTTAGGTACTTGTAGAGAGTCTCCACATTTGTAATACATTTTTATTGTCACGTCACTAAACCACGTTAAGACTTAAACGATTCCTATTTTTGTAAATTTTTAAAGGCAACCGAAGTTGCAGACGAATTTTATTGTGTATATTAAATTTGTTCAATATTAATAAATAACGTGCTTCATTTGGGTTGATTTATCAAAAGTCTAAAGTAAAGTTTGGTTTAATTTCTTTTTGAACTCTACCAGGAGACTACAGAGTCGACGTCACACAGTGACAGATTGCTTAGAACATATAATTGAGTTAGCTGAGGTATATATTAAATTAAACAACGAACCACATATTTTAAAAATTACATTTATTATAAAAAAAAAAATAAAATTAATAAAATACAACTTTATCAATATATATATATATATATATATATATATATATATATATATATATAATATATATAAGTATATACGTATATTATACAGGAATTAAACGAGGATAATCCAGATAAAAGAATACAATTTTACAAAATAATGATGGATAACAGCCACCGAAACAATCTCTAGGTTCAAAATATAATTTTTTCTGATGAGACTACATTCAAATTAAATGGCGAGAAAACTACAACTTGATGTGGTAACATCATACACAATACCCGCAAAAGATAAACGTATGGGCTGGCATTGTAAGAAATAAAATCATTGCACCCTACTATTTCGAAGGTAATTTAAACGGGCCTGTATACCTTTAGTTTTTAAGTGGGTATCTCTGACCTACTTTAGTTAATTTATTCCCCTGTAGAATTAATCTTAGAGGTTTTGATAAAAGTTTATGGTTTCCACAGGATGGTGTGCCTCCGCATTATGCTTTAGATGTTCGAAGGTACCTAAACGAAATTTTTCCGAACGGTGGATTGGAAGACTTGGACATCGAGGCCAACTTGGCAATGAATGGCCAGCGCGGTCGCCAGACCTCAATCCTTAGGATTATTTTATGTGGGATGATATAAAGAATGTTGTTTATGAAACGAAACCTGCAAATATTGGAGACATAAAAACAAGAATTCATAAAGAAATAAACAATATTTTTCAAGAAAGCATAAACAAGGTTCTACAAGAATTTGTACAACGTTTGGGTTACTGTCAAATACAACAACGGCTACAATTTGAACATTTAAGATAAAGTGATGTATTAATTACTGGATTACAATAAAGTTATTTATTGTAATTTATTTATAATTTATTAATATAAATCAATAAAAAATAATTTTCTAGCGCATATCTTTCTAATTATGTCCGTTAGACCCACAGTATTATACTTTTTTGAAATCAGCTCATTGTTATCGATCTAAGAATGTCCTAAAATACGTCATGACTGTAATGTGTATCACCTTGTATAAGGAAATTTTATTGTAAAATGTAGAACATTAAATTTAAACATCGGCGTGTTTTAGAGTTTTTTAAAAAGGCTTTTCATTTAAATATCGAATTTA